CAATCACTGCGCACTTCATTTTAATTACATTTGCACAAAAAATCACTCAAAAATCACTGAAATAAACCACCGACAAAATACACATAAAGAAAGAAGCAAAACAGAAATAGTAAACTTCAAAATTACGAACGTCACACACTTTTTTCTCAATTGCTATTACAAATGGCTGCTTCTCAACCGGTCAGATCTGTTCTAATTGGTTCATGACTCCACCTTGTATAAATTCGCCTTGATTTTGACATTCAGAATTCAGAATCTCGGTAGCGAAAATCCCAGCTGTTCTAACAACACCTTGTATGAATTCGTCTCCTGCATTTGACATTTTAAATACGCCCAAGGCTGTCCACATTTGTTTATTTTTTACCACTTTTTTTCGTTGAAGACACGGTTGATGAGGCGATCCTCCACGTGCATCATTAGTTGTAAATAGTCAAATATAAATAAACTTTTACAAAACATTACATTAAAAAAATCAAGATCTACTTGCAGCAGATTTTAAAGATTTGACGGAATTTGTAATACAACATGGGCGGCAATAAAGTGTTTAGCCAAAATGGCAAAGGCGTGAAAAGAAAACGTAAATTTCAAGGTCCTGCTGGACAAGATGATCCCGAATTTGATTTGAAGAAAAAACACTTAGAGACTACACACATTCGTGCATTGGAGAAGCGCCTGATAATTGTGTTAGAGGGTGCACAGTTGGAGACCGTAAAGGTATGCAACAGTTGGGTAGCGAAAAAAAAAATATTGGTATATCCTAACATTTTCAGGTCGGTAAAGTTTTCGAGCTGCTTAACTGCGACGATCATCAAAATATTTTGCGCAAAAATAATCGTGATCCTGGAAAATGTCGTCCGGATATAACCCACCAATGTTTGTTAATGCTCTTCGATTCACCGTTGAATCGCGCCGGTTTGTTACAGGTATATGTACGTACAGAGAAGAATGTGCTTATCGAAATCAATCCACAAACTCGTATACCGCGTACATTCAAACGCTTTGCCGGCTTAATGGTGCAATTGCTGCACAAATTCTCTGTACGAGCTAATGACACCTCTGCCATGTTGATGAAGGTTATAAAGAATCCTATTACGGATCATGTGCCAGTGGGCTGTAAAAAATATGCCATGTCGTTTTCGGGCAAACTTGTTTCGAACTGTCGAGAATTGGTACCAAGAGTGCAAAAGGAGGGCGAGAACACAGACGAACCAGCTGAGGAGCCTATAGTGCTAGTCGTCGGTGCATTCGCGCATGGTATTCTCAATCCTGACTACACGGAAGGTTTATTCTCGATTAGCAACTATCCGCTGTCAGCTGCAATTGCATGCAGTAAGCTATGCAGCGCCTTCGAGGAAGTTTGGGGAGTTGTTTGAAACTGTATTATAATAAAGAGTTTACTTAGCGATTAGGTAAAAAAATTATAAAACAGCAGTTGTTACTTTGTTCATTGTTATTGTTCGGGGTTAAATTTGCATTCCAATTCACAAGCATTTGCTACGAAGAGCCTCGATGATAATTTCATAATAGCGTTCATGTTGTTGTTGTAGCACAATACAAATTACCCAGAGTTTTTCGGGAGGGAGTGATGCTGGAGTGACAGTCCTTGGCCATATGGTCGTGGGAACGTAATAACGTTCATCATTTGCTATTGATTCTTGTTTACCGCAAACTCCTACTCACACGCTGCACAAAGGAAACAACCGCGTTTTTACTACACTAAATTTTCTTGTATTAGTAATTATTAATATGTGCTGTAATAAGTGGATGGTTATGTTTATTCGGCTATAAAAACGTTTTCCGGTATGCCCTGTTCAAAATAAAGCATCTCTACATAGCATTCGCATTCAAGTTAAAAATAACATAAAAAACTAATGAAAGTTAAAACTCGTAGTGAATTGCCGCTTTCCCAGGTAAATGGGCTGGCAGCCGAACGCGGTTCTATGCCTTATTGCCGCTCGTCTTCTTCTCTTCCACTGCCTTCTTTTCAGCTTCCCGCTTAGCTGCTGCATCAGCACGCTGTTGACGTATAAGCGCCAATCGTGCCAAATCCGCTTTAGCTTCAGTCGTTTTGCCTTCAGCGTGCAGTTTTTCGTAACGCGCTCGCGCTTTTTGCTTTTCAATTTGTTCACGTTCACGCCTTGTGAGTTCTGGTTTGGAAGGTGCTGCTCCCTCCAACTTTAAATTGGACAACTTTTGTGTAGCCTTCTTTGTTGCACGATTCGGGTTCTCGATTTCAATGAGTGAAGCAACACCTTTACGTGCATCGCGATCGTCTTCCTCCGAGGACTCTTCATCAGAGTCTTCGTCGCTACTGCCACCACCCCCACTGGTCTTCTTTGCGCGTGGCTTCGGTTTGACGCGTGCTGCCTTGCTAGTACCTGCAGCTTCATCATTGCCGCCCTCTTCTTCTGAAGAAGTATCCTCCTCGCTGGATTCATCGCGTGCACTTGCCAATTCTTCCGGCGAAGTGAAGTGACGGCTCCTACCCTTGTGGTTCACATATTTTCCGCGTGGCATTTTACAGCTATGTGCTGGTCAATCGGTGGTGACGTAGGATATAAATACGTCAACTGTAATGGCAGCAGCTACTCAGCGATCGAAATATTGCTGGGCTTATGAGTTTGCGGATTTTTGTGCGAAAATGAAGTGCAATTATTCTTTAATAGAATATTTTGGGTTTCACACGTTCCACCTCGCAATTCTGTCAAAATATTTTATTAGCAATTTCGATGAGAATGAGATCAAAAAGAAATGTCATCAGGCTGGAAAAATTCATTGGAACGCACTGCCGGAAGTACAGGGTGAGTTCAAACTTTTTTTGACATTTTGTTATGGGTAAAATTAGTCCCAACACGAATTTGGTAGTGATCCCAATAAAAACTCCAAGTCCAATAAGAACTGTATTAGGAGAGTTGCAGTGTTTATGATTAAATTCTAAATAATTGAAGGATTTTTAAGCTAAGAATATTTTGATAAATACGGCTCTTATAAAGGCGAAATTAGTCAACGACGAAGCGTAAACGTACGTTCACGCAGGCACGATCTACCTTATGTCTAGGTTCAGACAGAGAAACTTTTGTCGCGGCAGCTCGTTACTTGTGATAGAGGGACTGACGAGGAAGGGCGCCGATTGCTCGTGCTCGGGAAACACGCTTTGTGCTATCGTTCGTCTGGAAAATTCTAGTTGGCCGTTCACAGCTGACAACAATAATTGGTCTGTATGAAAGCGATGGGCAAAACCAAAAGAGAAGTTACAGAAAATGAGCAACAAAGGTTTCTCTGTGTGAAGCCAGTCTATGGGATTTTCGTGTTAACGAAAACTCGCCACCGCATGGCGGTGACGTTGGCCTTGCTTCTCTCTCCCTATCAACAGTAAATTTGATATGTTCCTCGTTGACTAATTTCGCCTTAAGGGCCAGTTTTTCAGCGCACGGACCAAATGAGTAGCAATATGAAAACTAATGGGATACAAAAAAGTTGTGTCGTTGTAACAGCATACCAAACAAACTTGTTCCAATCTCAAAGCATTTCATTTTATATCATAAATTTGTAATAAATAAAAACTACAATTAAAATCGTCCATAAAACACAACAAATTGCTAAAAAAAGCCACCTCGAACCGATAGAAGACGATGTTAATAAAACGGAAAAACATCAAAAACGCTACAAAAACTTTTTTCTAAAATTCGATTACAAATACAACGATGGCCGCTTGCATGATCTGTAGCTCGTTTCTGTAACAATTCTCTACCAAAGCGAATTGAGATATGAATTCGCCGCCTTGTTCTCTACTGCTAATGACTATTAGTGCTCATTTACACACGGCGATATTTGTTGCCGCAACTCGACGTTTGTTGGAGAGAGCGCGACGAGGAAAGGAGAGGGGCACCGAGTTGCTCGTGCTCGGGCAACACGCTTTGTGCTCTCGTTCGTCTGTGTAAATTGAACCGCTGTTCACAGCTGACAACAACAATTGCATACACACAAATCGCAGTGTGTAAATGAAACGAGCAACACCAAAAGGGAATGTGTAAAATCGCGGCGACAAAAGTTTTCGTGTATAAACGCAGTCTAAGAGAATGACGTATATTCTCTACCAGTAGAGAAGTAATCGGTAGAGAAGAGTTACAGAAACTGGCTACTGGAGTTGTTGATTCACGTTTGTCACACATGTTGGATAGTTTAATCTACAATTTATGTCCCAAAATACATGTATCGAAATTTTAATTTTTTTTTCATGCAACCGACTTTATTTCAACTGAACCTTTTGTACTAAAATAAGGAGCAATTGCGGATTTGGGGTCCACCCCTGCAACAGCGCCTTGAATACTGTTCACATACTATTAGTCACCCTGTACCCTGAATTTTGTGTTCGTCGTGATGAAATAAATTCGTTGTCATGAAGTGCACTGCGTGTTCGCCACAAATTCGAACGTTATGTTGTTCTTTTTACAAGGCGATTGAAGTTTGTGACTTTTGATAATGTATTAATCTAAATAAAAGTGCATTCAATAATATTTATAATCGTATTGCCGTCCCAACGAAGTTAAAAATTAATTTCCTAAAATCGTACTATGACAGCCATTTTGTTTCGTTTTCGTTTTTAGTACACATACTCATGATCAGCTATTTATCTCTTTTCAACCTGTGTATTGTGCATTATTACTCGCACTTCGACAAGTGAAATCGTTATATGTTCGACCATGTTCGAAAATTGTATATTTGACGGCTTGCAAACGCGCGTCTCGATCGCAACGCGTACGTGCTGAAAATTGCAAAAATATATGGTAAAAATTGTGAGGATAAATTGCAATTTATGAAAAACGTGTAGCTAAAAGCTTTCTTCAGCGTTGGCTTGTGAAATTTGGTGAGTGCGCGTGGTTTTACTTCAGGAAATTGTGTTTGAAAAAGTGCGACTCCGCTGGACAATCAACAGAAGCACCAGATCAGGCCGCAGTGTGAAGAAGCAGAAACTACGCGAAGACGAAAGAGGACCGAAAAGAAGCAGAAAAAAATGAAATTTCACTCGGTTTTGCTGCGTTGTGTTGTTGCTGTCAATGGCGGTAGTGCGGCGATTGCTACCATTGCCACTGGCGTTATGAAGATGATTATGGTGATGATGATGAGCCCTACATTGGTATGGGCTGATGTGTGCGTTTACGGCGTACGTTTTTGGAGTTATTCTTTGTGAACCTACAGCTTTTTTGTTATTGTTGTGGGTCGGAGAGGAAAAGTGGGTGCGGGCTGTAAGCACGCCTAAGGTATAGTGACAGTGGCAAACGTAGCAACAGCCGCAATGCCGTCAAAATGTGCAATTCGCCGTGGTACTTGTGTTCGATTTTAGCGCGGCCTGCTTGTTGTTGTAATGGCACTGCTCCTCTTCGAGGGCGGAATGAAGTGTTGATCTTGTATAATATTATGAGTACATACTCAATTTGTTGGCTTTTCCGTGTTTCACTTTTTAGCAATATTTGCCATCAACAATAAGTGTTAAAGAGCAATTGAAATTATCGAGTTAATACATGGAAACTCGGTTGTTAAAGGCATATTTGTGTGTAGATATAAATACTAACTCAACAAAATATCGGATTATCCGATAAAAAAAGTAGCTAAATGAAACAAATTTGATACATATGTTTGTACACAAGAACTGCGCTCATAACACGCAGTAATTTGGATTTAAAATTGCGAAAGCAGGTAATTATTACTTAGTTGAAGCTATTTTAATTTGAAATGTGATTCGCTTGAATCCCTCTGTATACATTGTAACATTTTTTCTCCGAAAGTTCATGCGGCAATCTTTTCTTTCGCGCCAATTCTACATAGCCCCTTCTACGAAGCACACAGAAAAAACTTTGTATAATTTGTGGTTATTCGCGGATAAGTTGAGCGCTTACGAATGAACTCAGTGTGCCAATTTCACTTGAATCTTTTGTGTTATAGCATTTAGAAAGTTACTATATTTGTTTTTATAGTCCGCTGACAGTATTTAATTGTATGGTTTTGTAATTTTGAAAGGCTATTGCGGTTATATCGGCTCCAGACGAAAGCCCCAAAGCGTCTCATGCTTTCGATTTCGAATTTTTGGCCCCACAAATACAACTATTTATCCTTTTCTCTATACAAATTGCTGTTTGCATTTCACATTCCGCTAATCCTCGCTAATATCAGTGGAGAAAGAGTGATAGCTAATGTCATAAATATTTTTGGGGGTTATTCGCTGGTTCTTTTACTCGTTAGGTTTGTCGGCACCCTGTGTGCTTTTGTTATAAGTTTTTCGCTTTTCTCAATCACGTCTGTCGTTCATTTTGCTTCTGTGTAAAGTGTGTGTGTGGAAAGACGAAGCGAAGTAGGTTTTTTGCAAATAAGTTTTTGTGTTAATTTAATAAAATTTACATAGAAATTTGTTTCAAGTACCAGTATGGGAAATGTCGCTCTACACATTAAATGTAAAATTGATATGGATTTGATGTGTTTTGTTAGGTAAATTTGCAATGAAAGTGCATGAAAACGAGTGAGACCTGGATATGATTTGAATGAAAAATTTCACTTCCTCTCGTCGGTGCGCCACGATGAGTTCGAACTTGAACGATGTGTGATGTTGTTACCTTGATTTTTGATTGGTAGTGTCGGTGGTGGTGTGCGGTGGAATGAACGAGTTTTAATTTCGATAATCAAACTAGCGAGTAGCTGCGGCTGTCAGCGAGTGGAGAAAAGACGAAAAGAATGAACGTACGATGAGCCACCCATACGAATATGAAACAACAAAGCAGTGTCAGTGGGCAGACAACACTACGACAACAACAACAACAAAAAAGTAACGAATGGAAATTCCGAGTTTGTCCGAAGCGTTGACTCTACTGTACAAAAGTGAATCGTTGCGGCCATTTGTGTGTTGTGCCACTGTCGCTGTTGCTGGTGCTGTTTGTCATCGCTTAGCGCAGCAATGCTGCCACCTGGAATCAAATAGTTCTCCAAACACCAGTTACATACTTTTCAATTAAGTTCGATACACAACAAGCGGCTTGACAAAAAAAAAAAACGAAATATCCCTATGCTTCATAGCATTTGTGTTGGTTTGACAAGCCGCTTGAGGCGAAAATTGAACAAAAATTAAATTTTTTCCATTTTCTTGCCGCCATGTTGACGTTTGATCAAATCGCTTGCGTTGTGTTTAGTAAAATCCCCTGATCCGCAACGGAATTTTCACCGAGTGAGAACGTACTGGGCAAAATGGAAGAAAACCAAACTATTACCTTGTGAACCGAAAGAATACTAAAATTTCTTGATTGGTGTATAGAGAAGTAGGGTTAAAGTACGTATGTCTTAATAATTGAATATTTTTAAGAGGACATGTAAATAGGTGGGTAGTTAGGTGTGTCGGGTTCAAGTCGAAGTAGTCGATTTGTTGGTAGTTGGTTATAAAAGCAATTGAAAAAAATGGTGCACTTTGAAAAGGACACTCCCAATTTGGAGATTAAATGTGGTGGGGGTTGCGTTCCGAAAAGTATCTGTTAGTTTGAGGCTGGTACAAAAAACTTAAGAAGGCGTGGTACCGCCAAACTTTCTGGTTTGAAACAGCGAAGACCAAATAATTCAGTGACAGTATTCTCTTTCTCCTAGACCTGCAAGGAGCTTAACCCCCTCCCCTACAAAATCCGCGAACTTGTTCACCACCTGGACGAAGGAGATCAGGCTACCGCTAGGAATTCACGTCGATGATGCACCAATTCCGACGGTGAATAACCCCAAAATAA